ATAGAGATGCGGTACATTTTGGGCTAAAAAAACTCATGATCGGATCGAAAACGTCTATTGAAAGCCTGAAGCATGTTATTTGAAAGCGCGAGATGCCGAAGGCATGCTCTTTAGTTTCAAGAAAGAAATAGATAAATTTGCATCTTCCGAAGAGTACCAATTTTTATTTCGGCCAAAAAAAAAGGTGAAACAAGATTTTCACTATTCGGATAATCTCCGTATTTTAATTTTTTGCATGCATAGCAACGGCATGAACAAGAAACTGCCATAAATGTTATAACTTTCACAACTTTTTGATTTCTTCACAAAGCGTTTTTGTATAAAATGCAAATCTTTGATTTTGTGTACATTTAATTAATAATCTATTGTTATGCGCATAACCAAAGTAGTAATTAAAGAGTTTGTATAATCTTTCTTACACGACCTCGGACTTTCCATAGCCGAAGCTAAGTCAGAGTTCTAAAAAAGCGCCTTGCAGTCTAATAAAGGCAATTCACCCTACATAACTTCATGCTTAAGAAGAAAATGTTGTTCTTCTGTACTGTTTGAGCCAAACAACCTTATGTGTCTGTAAGCAAAAAAGACTGATTCTTGAGTCTCATGTCAGGTGGGGAAGCAATGCACATTTTCCATCAATTTTATTTTTCTCTGTGAACTGCACTGGTACCAATTTCTTTTGCAATAATCAAAAGTCCACTTGACCAATTCCGCAAGGTTGCTAGAGTTTCTGTGATGAATACCATTGACCCAAGCAAAACAAGCATTTGAATCATTTCAGTGCTGAGGAAAAAATCATTTTATTTTTGCATGGTATTTCAGGTAGAGATAGGTACTGCCCTGTTTCACGCGTTTACTAATTCTAATTTTTGTGGCGTCGTTAAAAAGAGAGTTTTCTGGATATAGCTCAGTGTGAAAAGCTTCAGTAATTTGGTAAGTGCCGGATCGATCATCTGCTTTAATAGAGGAGCTTGCAGTACAGCGCTGTGTTCCACTTAGTTAGTTAAAAGCCTTTAAGTCCACGAACTAAGTAAAGGATGATGGTCTATTTTTACACTTTTTTAATGCG